TAGGTGAATTGCTAAGCCACCTCTCAGCAGCTGAGCACTTAGCTGTTTGCATGACCACCAGAGACTCAGCATGGAGGCGTTAGTTTTCTCCTGCTTCCTTCCTTTTGAGTTTGTGGACCACTATTCACTCCTGTGATTAAGACTGACGTTGGGAGTCAGGCAACCTCAGGGACAATGGGATGGGACCTTTGTAAGCTGTAAGGTTTTCATTTGTCAGAAGTAGAATGCTAGGTTTCCTTCCTAGTGTGTCTTTTCTGAAAGCGCGGTTAAAACCTGTTCTACATCACGGCACCTGCCAGCCTTCATCACAGATAGATGGTGGCTGTGCATGAGTGCGTTGGCTGAGCCACATCTCCCACAAGGAAGGTGAGAATTCTAAGGCTGCTCCACTGATGGCCCTCTTCCAGGATTTGGAGCCTGTCTTAGTCCAAAACACTGCACAGGTGAGACGTGTGCAGCAACTAGGAAGCAAATCCAATGTGCTCACTGTCCAGGTTGTGAGCTAGAGCCCTGCCCACCTAGGGTTCTACCCAAAGGTATCCTTTCCAGACTACCTTGCCCACTCCTGTCAAGGGAACCAGGGATCACTTTGGATCTTGATAAGCAAGTGCTAGGAAGGACAGAAAGCAGTGGCATGTGACAGTGGGATGGGCGCATCTGAAACTGGCCCCCCAGGGGCGGTCTTCTTCACCGGCTTGGAACAAAGACTGATGGGGTGGGAAAGAGCCCGATGGAGTTTCATGATCACCACTTCCTTGCTTTTCTGGGCCCTTTTACCTCCTGTATTCCACATCTCTCCCTTATACTGCCATTGAATCGATGTGGACCCACAGCGACGCTATAGGACTCCCTGTGAGTTTCTGAGACTGTAACTCCTTATCGGAGTTGTGAGCCCCATCTTTCTTCCACAGAGTGGCTGGTGGTTTTGAACTGTGGGCCTTGTGGACTAGAGCCCAATGCTTAACCACTACGCCACCAGGGCTCCACAGAGAAAGTTTTAAACTAGGATGTTCTTACATAACTCTCAAGAGTGAAGACCACAAAGGAGAATCTCTTCAATGTAGATTCTTGTCTTCTTTATAAATCCCAGCAAACCCTGGGGAGATGATGGAGGGTTTGTGGTCTCGAACACGTGGCCAAGAATGCAATCAGAGGCTGTGTGTATCCAGCAAGTGCCGAAGAGCTCACACTGTTCAAGGCTCTGGAAGAGCACTGCACCTGACCACTGGAGCACACCGGGGGGCCGACAGAGCATGGGTGAACATGGTCGGGCCGAAGGCAGTGGCGGTGAAGGGGTAGAATTCTCGCTTGCCATGTGGGAGACTAGAGTTTGGTTCCTGGCCCGTGCCTTTCATATGCAGCCACTACCCGTCTGCCAGTGAGAGCTCGTGGGTTGCTAAGATGCCAAGCAGGTTCTAGCTACGCTTCCAGACTAAAATAGGTGAGGAAGAAAGGCCTAGCGATCTACATCCAAAAATCAGCCTATGAAAACCTGATGGGGCACAATAATCGGATCTGCCAGTGGTCATGAGGATGGCTCAGGGCTGTGCAGCATGGCGCTCTGTTGTGCAGGGGCTCACCTTGGATCAGGTAGCTGACTTGATGGCTGCTAGCAACAGCAGACCTGATCTGACAGGTAGAGAACCTACAGAAGACTCCAGCAAGAGAGATGGGGTTGAGAAGAAGCTACTCTCGGGTGGGGGAGGGGGTCGCAGAGGTGGCAGAGTGAGTTAGCAGGGGTCTTGCAGTTGTTGCAAATGACAAAAACCTACCCACCTTGAATTTGTGGGCACGTGTGATGGAAAATGGAAGCAGAGTTGGGTCCAGGGACTCCAACAATGACACTGGCACTTTGCTTCACTGTCTCCACGGGTCAGCTCTGTTTTCCCCTCCCGTCTGGGTCTCATTCTCAGCCTTTCTCCTTGCAGTGGGAAGATGGCTGTCAGTACTGCCATGATCACTTCCTGCTCTCAGCAGAGACTAGATCCAACGCGAAGTTTCTGACCAAAGTCCCATAATTGGATCTCACTGGTTCTCAGGAGGTCACACGTCCACGTTGTAAGTGCTGTGGCTTGCTCTGATTGGCGAAGCTTGGGTCACATGCCCCAGCATCTGGATTAAGAGTCATCTTTTCTCCAGTTCTGTGGACTGAGAGCTGGGGTAGAGGCTTCTCTAGGAGAAATAAAGTATTGCTACTAGAAGCGGAGGGCTTTGACAGTGGGCTGGCAACCACAGAGCTTTGACAGTGGGCTGGCAACCACAGAGTGGGGGAGGGGCCAGAGAGACTCACAGGTGGCCTCTCCTGCAAAAATGGGGCAGGGGCAGCTGTAGCCAGTGGAACAGTGAGGAGGAGGAGGCTCTGGGGTCCGCAGCAGTAGCGGTGTCATGTGTGGTGCCTCTGCCATTTGGGGCCGTGAAAGGCCTGGGAGGGCCCTTCTGACAAAGATCTGTCTCCATGATAGACACAGTGCTAAGTGAGTCCTTGTCCTCAGAATAAAGGCAGGAAGAGTCAAGCACTTGGGTGACGCCCCATCGAGATAGTGCTGCTGTGGAAAGGGCAGACATTGTCGGGGGATATTCATGGGACTGTGAGACTGGATGATGGAAAGGGCACTTCAAGCTGGCTTTGCGAAGGGACAGAACAGGGCCAGTTTCCCAGCTTTAGAAACTAAGCTTCTGTAGTTTTACAATAGGCCAACATTTCAAAAATGTTAAAACAGCCAGCAGCAACTTAAACCTCTAACAATAAAAATTGGATAAATATTATCATAGCCATATAGAAAACAGTCTTTAAAAAATGCTGCTTTATGTGGCACGGGAAGGTGTTTTGAGAGAGAAAAGCAGTTCACAATCTTAATTTTGTAAAACCCAAAGAAACCCACTGCTGTCAAGTTGATTCTGACTCATACTGACAACATAGGTCAGAGTAGAACTGCCCATAGGGTTTCCAAGCCTGTCCATCTCTCTGGAAGCAAACGGCCTCATCTTTCTCTTGGTGGAGTGGTTGGTGGGTTGGAACTACTGACCTTACAGTTAGCAGCTAAGTGTTTAACTCTTGTGTCACCAAATCCCAAACCACTGCCACCCAGTTGATTTCAACTTAGCGATCCTATAGGGCAGATCCTAAAGGACAATTTCGGGTTTCTAAGCCTACATCTTAACTGGAGCGGCTGGCCTCATATTTCTCCCTTGAGCAGCTGGTAGGTTTGAACTACTGGCCTCGTGTGGTTAGCGGCCCCCACACTGCCAGGGCACCTTACCTGTGTCCCCAGGGCTCCTCACATGTACATGTTGTTAGGTGCCAGAGTTGGTTCTTACTCTTCTCACAATGTCCTTTTGCTTGCACGCATTGCTGCAGCCACCTCGTGGAGAGCTTTTCTCTTTGTCACTGTCCCTGTACTTTACCACGGAGGACCTCTTTCTCCAGGAACTGGTCTCCCCTGACAACATGCCCAAAGTAGGTGAGATGAAGTCTGCCCATCCTTGCCTCTAAGGAGCACTCTGGTTGTACTTCTTCCAGACAGACATGTTTGTTCTTGGACAGGCCAGCACCATACTTCAAGGGCATCGATCCTTCTTTGGTCTTCTTTATTCAATGCCCAACTTTCACAAGCATATGAGACCATTGAAAATACCACCGCTTGGGTCAGGTGCCCCTTAGTCATCCAAAGTGACCTTGCTTTTCAACACTCTGAAGAGGTCTTATGCAGCAGATTTACCTAAGGTTACCTACGGCAACATGTAGTTCGATTTTGTCTGCTGCTTCCATAGCTATACAGACATAGAAAAAGTATGAAAAGGCATCCACCAAGATGAGAATAGTTGGTATGCTGAGGGTAGCATGACAGCTGAAGTGTGTCTTCTGATTTCCCTAGAGAAAGCTTGCTGGGCAGTAGAATAACTCAGTGGTCTAGCTAGAGCTAGTCTCCTGGATCCAGTCTCCACTCAGCCACTGCCTGGCTGGGTGAGCTATATCAAATGTTTTAGGACCTCAGTTTTAACTCACTTATCCATAAAAAGGGGATAATAGTTCTTAATAGATAATAGTTCTTAATAGATAATAGTTATCTTAATAGATAATAATTCTTAATTGTAGTAACTAATAGAAATACTTGGTTACTACTACATGCAGTGTTGTTAACACTATGCTTACAGTAAACACTGAAAAATGTGGTTATTAAAAATCTCAAGAGAAAATCTGATTATTAAATGAACTATATGGAATTTTGTGTCTTTTGTGGCCAAATAGCTGTAAGCAATATATGAACTATTATTAGGATAAACCAATTTTTTGTCAACATTAGGAAACATCTGAGGATAAAATAGAGAAGATGTTTATTCTCCTGGACCGGTATGTACTACGGTAGGAGCACGCTAGCAGCGGTGACACTATAAACAGGTGGTGTGAAGATAGGTTGACCAGGGACGACTGGGGTGGGGGTGGGGAGAGCCGGGGGGTGCACTTAGGGCTGAACATCAACCAACAGTTCATTGCAAGTCTCTCCATGGTAGGCAGGAAATTTCTGAAACAAAAGGAAACCTTTGTGGCTGAGGCAAGGGACAAGGAGGTGTAGGCAGCTCTCACGCCACAGCCCACTGAATAGTCAGAAGGCCGCCCACTTGCTGTTTTATTTCGGGCAAGCCCCCGCTCGTCTCTAAAAGCCTCCGTCTTTTCTGAAAAATAGGGACGATGATATCTTGCTTCCCAGGGTTACAAGGATCAAAGGAAATTTAATTGAAGTGCTTTGCAACCTAGTGTTTCTAATATTACGATAACCACAAAGCTCGGAAAGAGAGGCGCGGGACAGAATCCTGACAGCGTCGGTTTGCGCGTGCGCGCTGGCCCGGCTCCGCCGAGGCGGGGGAAAGCATTGAGGCTCCGCCTGGAACCGTCCCAGCTTTTCTTCCCCTCCCCTTCTCTCCTACTTCCGCGGGCACCCAACCGTGCGTGGCTGCGTGCTGACGTCAGGTGCGTGCCCCTGTCCGGCAGTCGAGGAGACCCTGCGCAGTGCTGCCAACGCCCCGGCGGAGAAGCTGAGGTGAGTACGGGGCCCGAGGCTCCCCGCGGGAGAGTGAGTCCCCTGTCGTCCTGTCCCCTCCACGCCTCCCCTAGCTGTTCCTAGTCCTCGGGGACACTCGGTCTCGGGGATCCCGGGACGCCGGGGGTCGCGGGACCCGGGGCAGTGCCTGGCTCGTGTTGAGCCCCTGGGCGAGCGCGCGTCCGGCTTCTGGAGGGGAACTCGGGGAGGAAGTCGGGGCAGGGACGGTGCGCTGCGCGGGCGCTGTGAAGCGCGGCGCCGGGGGCTCGGGGTGCTGGCCCGAGGGCGCGGACCCGAGGGCGCAGGCGGGGCCGGGCTGTCACCGGGCAGCGGCGGAAGGAAGGGGTCACACCCATCCCGGCCGCCCGGGGCTCCCCTCCCCCTCCCCGGCCGGCACCGTGGCTCCCGAGGGCGGCCTGCCTTGGGCCCCGGGCCGCGCAGCCGCTGGCGGGCGCCAGAGGTGAAGGTGACGGTCGCTGGGGCTCGGAGGCCGGGAGCTGCCCACCGCGCCCCGGCCCCGACTTCCTGCTTCGCCGGCCTCGGCCGCGGACATTTTGCGGCGGGCGGGGGGAGGGGGCCGACTTTCGCGGCGCGGGGCCTCGGCCGCCGGGGAGGTGGCGGCCGGCCTGCGGCGGGGCCCGGGCGTGCCTGCGCCGCCTTTCCCGCCGCAGCCGCCCGGCGCGGGGTGGGCCTGAGCTGCCTTTCTCCAGGCTCCGGTCCCCTGCCCCGGCTGGATCGCCAGCGATTTCCTTCCGCCGCTCCAACCTCTCACAGTCCGTCGCCCCGCGAATTGAGCCGGAGCTTCCCCTTGGCCCAGTTACCTAACCCCCTCCCGAAGCTGCCGCCCGGCCGCTTGCTTCTTTCCTCCTCCTCAGGGGAAATTTTCTTTGTTCATTTGTTTTTTCCCTCCCCTTTAAATCCTAGAGAAAATGCGGTGTGGAAGATTACGTCATCGCAATATTCGGGGTGCGAGTTTTAACTCCTACAAGTCAGGGGCTCTAGACTCAGACAGCTTTAGGCTGTCACCCTGCCAGTCACCTGCCCACTTCCCAGCGCATCATGTTTAAAGATGTTTTGTGTTGTGTTCAAATCCTGTTGCTTGGATTCGTGGCTACCTCACATGCGAAGGCTTGAAATCCCAGGATTAAAGTGTGATCGAAAATAAAGCTTCCGACAACACCCTCCTGTAGTCAGTCCCTTGCAAAGGCTCCGACTTTAAAGATCCCCTGGAATGCGCTTGAATGAAACCAATGTAACTTGTGATTGCATTTGTTTGGCCTCAAAATGACTTTCCCGGACGGATTGAGACTTCCCATATGCCTATTTACTTGACATAAACTACCTACCTAAATTAGCCCACTGGCTCTTTCTTGTGGCCAGGGTGTGGTGGTCAGACTTGTTTCTTAGGCCTACAAGTTTTTCAGTTTCAAACTAGCTTGGGATTTTGAACAGGAAAAGCAAATGAGTGTTAGATTTTGGGGATCACAATTTTTGTTCCCAAGACTGCCGGGTCCATTCTAAGTTTGATACCCTTCCTTGCACAGAGTCCAGTAGCGTGAAAAAGTGTTAGCATTGTAAAGCAAATGAAATCCAATTGTGTAATGCATTGTTCCGAGGGTAGTTCATGTTGGAACGAGTGCTTCTCCATTGTTTCTCATTTGTATGGAGAGAACAGATTGCTTGTTGAGCAGCACTTTAAAGAAGTGGTCGTTTAAATGAGCTTTCTCTAGTTCCTGGGTGTTACAGAAAGGTATGGACCTTCTGAAATAACACTTGTTTGCCTTAAAGTGGTATCTTGTTTTAAGAGAATGAAAATGAAGCACTTGCCTGCTGCCTTATTTCTTGAGGCTTCTGTATGTAAGAGGTCTTTATCAAGTGTTAATTCACATTCCTTTTTGAAATATAGCAGAATATTCTGAATTTTCAGACAGACAAAGATTGGCATTTAATGGGGTATTGAAAGTGCGCTCTTTCTAGTAATTTCTAAAGACATCACACGTTTAACCCTAAGATGTTTTCATAAAATAACCAACCCTTCTGCTCAGTGAAGAAATCCCCCCCCCCCTTCAATCTAAGGGAGTGCCAGTGGGCTTCAAAAAGGTTGAGGATAAAAAAAATTCTATTTTAATTCCATGTACAGACTTTTTGAAGTCGTCCCTATCGTCTACAGCTGAAAGTAGTTAGGGAACTTAACTACCAGTGAGATCCTTAAAATCTATCCAGACCAAATCTAGGAGTTTTTTGTAACTTAAGGATTTGTTTTTGTTAGGATACATTCCCACTTAAATTTTTTAAAAAAATTGTTTTAGGTGAAAGCTTTCATAGAAAGCAGGTTCCTACTTAACAAGTTTTCTATAAATTGCTCCATGATACTGGTTACATATTTTACAAGTGTCACCATTCATGCTTTCCATTTTGTTTGTTCTGTTTCCCATGATTTAGCTTCCCTGTCCCTCCTTAGCACCTCATCGTCATTTTAGGGTAAATGTTGACTGTCTGAACTCATATAGTTGATTACTTAGATAAGTATTTATTTTATAAATCTTACCTGGATGAAAGATGGCCATCATGAATAGTTTTACTTACAAATTTAAGGGTGTCTTAGGGTGATAGTCTTGGAGGTTTCTTTCGTCTATTGGTCCAGTTAAGTCTGACCTTTTTGAGGAATTTGAGATTTGTTCTACATTTTTTCCCTTTCTAACCAGGACCTTCTGTTGTGTCCTGGTCAGAGTGGTTGGTAATTAGGCATCTTCTAGTTCTTCTGGTCTCAGGCTGCATGAGGCTAGCTGGTTCCTGTTGGTTGTTAGTCCTGTGGTTTAGTTTCTTTGAGTCTTTGGTTCCCTTCAGTCTCTATTCTTTCAGACAGCGAGAGGTCAGTAGTATCTGAGTCCACCCATGCTTTTATGGACTATTGGGAAAGCATTTCTTGTTATTTTTAGAATATATCAATAACATATTTTGACCTAAGCTCTCAAATTTGGAAAACTTAATATTTAATATGCATTTCTGGGGAATATTATTGATAGGCATTCTTAGGGAGTAAAAGGTAAAATTTGTATTTCTATATACATTTTTTTTTTTTTGAGAGTGATGAAGAGCGAGCATCTAATGAGTACTTTGGAGCTTTTCAGGGGAGATAGAGTAGTACTGTTTTAACGTGTTTCCCATATGTAGATTTGTGATGGTGCAGGCTTAGCGTTGGCCTGCTAACAACAAGGTTTGTGGTTCAAACCTACTAGCAGCTGTCTGGGAGACTGGTGAAGCTGTCTATTGTAGTAAAGATTTATAGTCTTGGAAACCCCAAAGTGTACTCTCTGCTACACATTTGCTGGGAGTCGGCATTGACTGGACAACAGTGGACAATATCCTATTTTTAAAGGGCTGTCTCCTAGGCTTTTGTGATTATGCCTTCTTCAGGTTACTCAGTATGTTTTTTGCCTCTCCTATTATATAAGCTCTGTTAGGGCAGGGCTTTGGCCTGGTATGGTTATTCCTCTAGTTTTAGCACCTAATGCCAAACACTTAAGTTTCAAGAATTCTTTGTCAAATAGATCAGTTTGACATTGTCTTATGGTTAACATCTTCTCTAAGCCGCTGTACTGTGTTTTCTGACTGCTTTTGTGCTGATCAGCTATATCCATATTTGGGTTCATTGAAGTCAGATTACTAATCTAACCTTGTTTAACTTTATCCATGTGTTTAGTCCATTCGCTCGTCAGATTACTAATCTAGCCTTGTTTAACTTTATCCATCTGTTTAGTCCAATCGCTTCTATGGTTTCATTATCTGAACAATTTACCATCCCTTAGAAAATCTTTTTTGATGTCCCAAGTTCCTTATTCTCCTAGCAGTTACTCAGCTGTAATGTTGGTTTCTCTGGCTTCCTCAATTTCATTTGTTCGCAAATAGCAGCTTATTTTTGCCACTTTTCCCCCTCTGCAGTGTCAGATTCCTCGTCATGTTGTGCTTTATCCTTTACCAGTTTCTACTTTTAGTTACTCACCCCTTCAGTCCAAAATATTTTTGCTAGAGTCATTTTCACTGCTTGTCATTTCAGCTCTATCTGCCAGGGCTGCTGTTATAAATCCTGGGTATCACTTGTCATCCTTGGGATGATGATTCTCAAAAGACTTAGTCCTTGAAGTGTTTGTCCACCAAAAGGATGTATCTCCTTTCAGTTTTAGAAAAAATATGTTGTTTATTTGACTTCAGGTATTTGGCATTAGCTATTAAGCTAAAGTCCAGAATAGTTTTTAAATGTAACAAGAAAACCCATGTGCTTTCAAGCCATGATAGTTAACAGACCAACATTTCTAGGTGTGTGTAACCTGAAGAGAACCTCAGTGACTAGGTGGTGGTCTTTGTTCACTTTCATGCTTGCTTTCTCTTCTGCAACCTCACCCTAACCCTAACCCTAACCCTAACCCTCTGCCCTAGAGTCAGTTCCAGCTCTCAGCAGCTCCATACAGGGTTTCCAAAGGCATCTTCTTGACAGCAATCAGCCTAATTTTTTTCCTTCTGTGGAGGGGCTGATGAGTTCAATGCTTACCCAACAGCGCCACCAGGGCCCTTTGTTGTCTTCTCTAAAGTAAACTATTTACTTCCTTTTGCTATTTTAATTTTGCCATAGTGTTCTTGAGAGATGTACTGATAATGTAGTGCTTAAAGTATAGACTCGGGGACCATATTAAAAACCAAAAACCAAACTGTCATCAAATCAGTTCTGACTCAGAACAACTCTGTAGGATAGAGCAGAAGTGCCCCCAAAACTTTCCAAGGTGCTTCCCTAAGCAGACTACCTATCTTCTGCTGTGGAGCAGCTAGTGGGTTTGTTGCTGATCTTTCTGTTAGCAGCTGCACTGCTTAGCCATTGTACTACCCAGGCTGGGAACCAAATTGCCTGCATTCAGATCCAGGCTTTGCAGTTTATTATCTATGTGATCATGGACATTTAGGTATGCCTTTGTAATTTAGTCAAACATGGAGAAAGACGGGGCTTG